AGTGGTTGAGTGCCCCTGAGTTCAATCCCTGGTACATAAAAAAAAATAAATAAATAATTTTTTTTTTTAAGTTAAAAATTTTTAAAAACAATGAAAAAAAGTAGATTCAAATATATGAAGAAAAAAGTTAAGAAAAGAATAAAAATAGAATGAAACATAAAACGTGAAATCTTAGTGAGAAATAAAGGGCTAATTTCTGCCGAGGTGTTGGACACTGTTTGCAGGATGGATGTTCATCCCTGGTAGTTGTTTCGGGATTCCTAACCTTGGGTCCAGGGCTGGGTGTATTAAGTCCTCACCCTTGTGCTCCTCTCTCAGCTGTGGCTGGTTGCAATAGAGCCCTTCCAGTCTCCTGGTGCCCTGGGGTGGCCCAGCGTGGGTGGTGACCAACTGTGCTTCTGTGGGGGGTGGGGTGGGGTTGCAGAGCTCTAAATTGGGGACTCCAGCAACTGGGGGTTAGTCTAGGTCCACTTGGGAGTCTGCGGTGGGTGTCCCAGGATTGTCTGCTCTTCCTATTGGTGGGGGATGCTGAGACCGGCTTTCCGCAGCAGCTCTCTGGTCCCTCGTGCAGTCCTCCTCTAGAGCTAGGGAGCAAACCTAGCTCCCTAGGTTTACTGGTCTCCCCCTCACCATCGGGAGTGGAAACCCTGGGTGTCTGCCCCAGGGAGCAGTCAATCCTCTCGGATCCTGAGCCTGTTGGGTCTGGCTAACCTTTCTGGGTACCAGTTTCTCCGGTTCAGGGCCCTGCAGGAATTCTGGGGGGCTGCAGAGGCTCCAGTCCCAGCTGCAGGAGCTGGGTGTGGGCCTGGTCTTAGCAGGAGCTGGGTGTGGGCGGGTTCTACCAGACCTTGAGACCACCTGCCGTGCCGGAAGGCGGGAGCGGTGGGCGGTGGCTTCCTACAGCAGCTCCTGCCCAAGCTCTTCTCAGGGTGCTGGGCCCCGGAGGGGGGCCCCTCTCTGGCTCCTTGGGTAGCGAGCTGGACAGCAGGGAGGTGCCCAACCCCTCAGGGCCCCACCCCTCCTTTCCACTCAGGGGCACCTGCTTCCCCTCCCCTGCCCTCCCCTCTGTTCCCCTCAGGCCCACCTCCCCTCCCCTCCCCCACCGGGTTCCCCTCAGGGTGCCTACTCTGCCCCCCCTCCTCCCCTCCCCTCAGGGCCATCTGCTTTTCCCCCACTCCCCTCCCTTCTGGGCTACCTCCCCTCCCCTCCCCTCTCTGCCACCTGTCCTCCCCTCTGTTCCCCTCAGGGTGCCTACTCTGCCCCCTTCCCCTCCCCTGCCCTCCCCTCTGTCCCCCTCCCCTCCCCTCTGTCCCCCTCAAGGTGCCTACTCTGCCCTCCCCTCCCCTGCCCTCCCCTCTGTCCCCCTCAAGGTGCCTACTCCGCCCTCCCCTCTCCTCAGGGATGCCTGGAGCTCTCTCCTGCCAGGAGCTGCTGCCCTCCTGCAGGAGCCCTTGCTGTCCCTGACTCGCTGGCCCAGGGCTTGTCTGTTCCCCTGGCCGCTGCTCATCTTCTGTGTTCCCCTCTCCCTGCCCCGGGGTCTGCGGCCCTCCTGCAGCCCACTGGGACTGCTCCAGGGGCGGTGTCCCACGTTCCCTTTCCTGCCACTGCGGACTGTTCATGGTGAGGGCCAAGTTTCAGGGAGATGCTGGCCCGGCCTGGCCCTGAGCTGACCGCGCCTTAGGACTGAACCTGGGCAAGGTGGGCATCGCGCAGGCACGCGCCACGAGGACGAAGCCCTGCAGAACGTTCAAGCGCCCTCTGTGGCAGGCGCGTGCCACAGCACAGGGGGACACGGGGTCACGTGAGAGGCAGTAGACACCTCCACTCCCAACTTTTGGGGAAATCCCGACATTGGCTTTGCCCGTGGTGGGTCTGTGGGTAGATCCCATGACAGCATTTATTTAAAATTGCATATGAACTGGGAGGTTACTCAGATGTCACATGTAGTCCGAACACACTCAGGGCTTTGTTATGTTCATTTATAATACTTGATTCCACTGAAGAAATCTTTATTTAGAATATATGTTAGCATAATACCTGAGTTAATTGTGTTATCGTTGAAGAAAATAAACCAATGCGTGCTCATTCGCTATTATTACTTTCCATCTTGGAATTATCAGTTTGGAGACTCATTTAATTCAAAACGTTATTGGCCATTATGTTTATGAGTGCATTAGGAACCATGGACATTATGTAGATGATATCGGTGCTTGACCCACAATTTCAAAGCAATTATTATTAAGGAGGATTTCTTCAGTTCCATGTTAGTTTGGGTTCTGCACTAATGCCACTTACCCTGAGTGCCTTTAGTTAATACTATTATAGTAATGTTGTTTAGACAAATCATTACTTTAATGTAGTTCCTGTCATTCATTGTTATTCTAATAAAAATTGTGATGCTTTACATAGACCATGTACTGACTAACTTGATTGCAAATCGTTGCTTCTCAGAGGAACAAAATCTGCTTGGAGTAAAGCAGGATAGGACTGTTTGCTTCCATTCAGAAAGGTCAAGGAGATTGCTAATTTTTATATTTTGCAGAAAACTCTGTTTCTTCATACTTTCAGAATGGGTCCTTAGGCAGGAGGAACTGACCCTGGCAGAGCACATCTCAAGAGGTTCTGCTTCAGGAGCAGGTCTCTTTCCAACATGAGAAATGTCCCTCTCTGTTTTGGCATCTCTAACTACCTGTATGTTTCTCTATGGGGTTGCCTTCTTCTTACTAAAGTATGAGGCTGATTCATTGCTTTGTATATATGGCATCTTCAAATGTTTGTATTGCCAACACGTTCTCTTTTCTTGGATTTCCTGCTAAATCATTGCTCTTTGATCATTACTTTATGTGCTCAATTAAAAAAAAAATGTTTGCAGGAAGCTGTGAAAAAAATTTTTATATTGCTGTTATTCGTTATATTGTTTTACATTGAGGTATACAATCAATTTTGGATTGGTCTTTGAATATATTGTGAGATGAGAATCAGAGTTCATTTTTCCCATTCGGAAGTCTGGTTGTCTCAGGACCATGGGTTGAGAAGCACCTTCTCTTTCCCGGCAGTGGGTAGCTTTGTCATAAATCTGGCATCTGAGGCAGGGTGGGTTTGGGACTTTCTCTTTGGTTCCATTGACAATTCATCTTGGCTGGCACCATTCAAACCCTGCCTTAGCTACTGTAGCATTACAATCAGAGACAGCAATAAGTAGCAGAAGAGCTCCTATTCTGTTCTTTTTCAAGATTATCTTGGTTGAGATCAAATGAATCAGAAACTATTTTAGGCATAGAAACTTTAAGAACTTCTTTGTTGATGAGAAAGTGTGGCCAAGGCTGAGAGTCACCCTGCTAGGAACTTTTGAACAGCTCCTGAAGTTCCTAACAGGGCCCCTGGGAAAGTCTGTCCTGATCAAATGTGACTCGTTCTGCAAACTGCACTGTGCTGACTGGCACCTTAAATGTAGCCTAATGTTATTCCTTGGAGAAATCTTAATTTCTGATAATCTGGCTCAAAATGATGAATCTATAATAGCAACTCCTTTCCAGCTGACTTTTTTTTCTGTTGAATTTTTCTTTTTTCCAATTTATAATCAAGTCTTCACTTTTTTTTTGATTTACTGTGAAGTAAGAATTGCTAGATAAACCAGAAAAGCTATTTTCTTTAAAGACCTTTCAAAACCCCACAGCTTTAATATCTACTTGTTACAGTGTTATTGTTAGATTTAAATTTAGTGGAAAATGGGCTTCTTATTAGTTCTTTGGTTTTAAACTCATAAATCCCTTTCATTAAATCTTTTTTTATTAAGATTTAGCAAACTCCCCCAAGCATTTGATAATATTACTGTGAACGATTTGAGCTCACTGAGTCCTACTATTGCAAAGCATTTTTCTAAGTGCAAAATGCATTTGGAAATAATTTTTCTGTTTGCAGTTCAACAGTGAAAGCTGGGATAATACTTGTGTTCAAGGACCTGCACTGCATGAAATAATCTGAGTATGTCCAGGTCCCTTGCAAATGTTCTCAACATTTTTTTTAGTGTCAAAATATTTAAATTTGTTTAAAACACATTGGTGGGAAGTGGCCAGATTGAGAAGAAAGGAGAGACCCCAAACGGTTTCCAAGAGCCACTTAGTAGCTCACATCAAACCTATTAGATATAGTGATGATCTGAGAGGAGTGAATCTGTTTTCACATGATGGTGATATTTACAATAGAAAGAAAGTGCCACCAGGGCAATTTGAACAATCTGTGTCCTGATCTCAGTGCCTGCTCTTTGTCACTGAGGTGCCTCAACTGCTGTGCAGAGTGACCACCAGCTGACTGACTGTTGGAAGAAACTGAAGAGTAAAGTTGAGCACACAGGGATGCAGCTAGCTAGCATTGGGGGCTCCTCTAGGCAGTGGTCACCTGAAAGGAGAGGCAGATGGACATGTAAGCCCAGAATCACTGAGCAAAGGCAGTAGATAAAGGATGGGGTGACAGGGAGAAATGAATGGCTGTGTCTAGGAGGGATGGGGTTTTGGTTTGTCCAGAGTTGGCATGAGATTGGAAGGTTGTGTGTGGCTGATTAGGTCTCCCCTGACCTGTTCTTCCAGCTGAACATCCTGGTTGGAAGCCTGAGCCTATAACTCACTCAAGGACCTATTTTATAAAGAACTACTCCTGAGGTCTGATTATCCTCAGTGGAGCTGCATCCTAGAGTTGCTAACACAGTCTTAGCAAGCAGAGGCTGAGGGGAGACAGTTCCTCAGTTTCCCAAGCTCAGTCCACACCCCCAGTTTCTCCTCACTCTCCCGAATCACTAGAACCTTACACACCAGAGTATCCTCATTTTCCCCAGAGGCATATGAATGGGCGGTCCCCCAGAGTGTGGGTGCTTATCATTTGACAATTTTGCATGAGAATCATGCAGTCAGTCAGTATAAAATTGATGAAAAATGGTTGGAGAATTGTAAAATCAGATTAAAGATGGCCAAACTAATAAGCCTTTTTTTGTGCTTTTTTCCCAGGTCAGAACTGTGGAGGGTTAGTCCAGGGACCCAATGGTACCATCGAGAGCCCTGGCTTCCCGCATGGCTATCCCAACTATGCCAACTGCACCTGGATCATTATCACAGGGGAGCGCAACAGGATACAGCTGTCCTTCCACACCTTCGCCCTTGAAGAGGATTTTGACATTCTCTCCGTTTATGATGGACAGCCCCAGCAGGGAAACCTGAAAGTCAGGTAAAGTGCCTGCTCTTCATCCTATAGGCGAGTAGAAATGGATAAGTGCCTGGGTTCTGAAATACAATTGGAATTCATGTTTGAATCTCATCATCAGAAAAAAAAAATCAAGCAACAATAAAGAAAACTTAAAGGCTGTAGGTCTCTGTCAAATTGTCACCTTCCCCCATACTTCAACTTCTTACTGAAAGCAATCCTTGACTTCTTTATAGATCTCTCCCTGCTTTAGCTCTGCAGAACAGTGTTGTCAAGGTAATTTAAGTGAAGTTATGATACACCATTGTTTTGAAGCAACTGTGGATTTGAGGAAAAAGTCAAAAAGATAAAACAAGGGAGTACAATTCAGATAACAACAAAAGGAACCTTTATATTGTCAGAGAATACAGTCAGTAGGGAGACTTAGGAGGTGGGTGGAGTGAGAAGTCTTTAGAGGCTTTTGGGTTTGACAATCATAGTATATTCTGTTCATTATTGGTCTTCTCCTTTGATCTATGATTTTTATCATGAAGAATGAAGAATATTTCCCAGAAATAAACAAAAAAATGTACCTGTACAACCAGATTTTTTAGAATTTGGCAATGGAAAGAGGAATATCCCTTTCAAAGAAATAAGGTTTTCTAAACTAAATTGATGAACGTATTTAAATGTATATACTTATGGCAAACCAAATCTTTATCTTCTATTTTGAAATTTCTGCATTAATTAGAGATTATGTTTAGTAGCTGTTAGTTTGCAGAAGAAAAATTGACAGAAGGCAGCAGAAATTGCTTTGCTTAAATGAATAAAGTAGAATTCACACTAATGCCAACAGGAACACACACACAAAAACATGCATTCTATTCATGATTTTGTGAAGTGAAAAAAACAAATCTAACTTCAAAAACATGCTTTTATTTGTATATTTAGTTAATACATTTATATGACTATACAATATATAACTAATATATTAAACATGAAACATATCATTAATATATTTAAAATATATTTTATTTGCATTTTCATTATGCATTTTCAAATAAAAAATATCTTCTATTTTTTTTTCTGGGGCATCGACCCTACATTTTTCTTTCAATATGATTATTTCTATTTCTGTTGCATATTGTGCAATAGCTGACTCTTTTCTGAACCAGGTAGGTAAATTTTCTTTCTTCTTTTAATAGCATCTATGGTCCTGATGTTGGATATTTGAACAAAGTATCTACTGTATGATGATTGCTCATTTAATGGAAGAGTTCCTTTAACACTCTTGGTCTTCCAAATATTGTTTTTTTACTTGGTTTTAGTTACAAGTGTTGGTACTCCCAGGGAATAGCAATGTTTTTTAGTGGCAAAAACAATCATAACAAAGACTGCAGTGGTGACAAAGCAAAACAATGACAATAGTAAAAAGATGTAGGAAATCCAGTTTATTCAAATACCAGCACATATGATTATGTTGAAACTAGTTCCTTCTCTTTCATAATCATGTATTCAATAATACTTGCATTTTCTTTCTCTTAATATTTCCTTTTCCTATAATTCAAGTATGAATGCCTCTCTTATGTGTTAATTTGATTGACTACTTGTCAATTTTTAAAAATCTGTTTCGCTTTTATGTT